TGAGTGAGGCCATGACTGAGTGAGGCCATGACTGAGTGAGGCCATGAGTGAGGGTGGCCATGAGCAAGTGTGACCATGAGCAAGTGTGACCATGGGCGAGCGTGATCATGAGCATGTGTGATCAAGGCGGAATGTATGCCGAAAGAATACATTGATTACAAGTACAGCAGCGGTTGAGGAATGGTACAATGATTGTGCATCTGGTCTATCGACCCTGTCGTTAGGTTCCTGCGATACACCATTGCCCAGATTGATCTTCTCAGCACCGTAGAAGACTGATCGGGCCACAATCGTTCACAGCAATGATTATGTTCCTGCGTCCCGATTTGAGTGGTCCATAGACGTTGATGAGTCGGTTCTACTGTCCACCACATTGGGCATGACGGCCTTTTGTCCTCCTCGGCACTTGATAGCCAGGCGGAAGGTGTGCAAATAGAGTCGAGATGAAGCCCAGTAGCCCAACGAATCGATACCATATCCTCTCGATGGAGCTGGCCTGTGAGAGGATGGCACCGTCTTGAAATCGTTCCCGTGCCTCTTTAGCCTGTCTTTGTGCTTGAGCTTCTCTCACAGCTCCCTTTCCCTCTTTCTCTGCTCTCCTGCTATCTTCCATGCCCTTCGTTCTTCTTCATCCATTTCGTCCAAAACTTGCGTTGGAATTAAAAGTCCGTAAACTTGTATGTCTCACATTCTTCACAGCTAATTGATATTCCAAGTATTCAATATTTTAAGCTCTGTGAAAGCTAACTATACCGTCACCATCGTTTATTCCTACCCTTTTGGAGCCTTCTTCCTTAATTCACCTCCATTTGAGAGAGCATGTGTGATCCATTCCTCCTGATAGATTGTCCGCACTTCCAAAAATCTTCGTCTCCTTTCGAAAAGGGTCACAGCAACATCGTATCTACCGCCATTGGAAGTCGATCTGATAGACCTTGATATCTATTTGGACTTATGCGTTATGATTCTATCTTGAGACTTGGTCATGAAGCGAAGATGAGCGGGGGTTGACTATTCCCGCACCCCTTTTAGGCCTTAATCATTCCCGTCAAGGACGTTGTGCTGGGAGGATTCGAAGTCGTAGTAAACCATCATTGTTCCTTGAATAAAGTTGAGGCTCGAAAGCCTTAAAACGGACAATCTGACGAAAGGAGGCGCCCCATTTCCGTATCCATGTCGATGTATCTGTAATATGTGGGAAAGAAGAGGAGAGAATCTTCTGTCTAGCATCTCAAAATAGAGAACCTTCTACCATCTGTCGAACCTTTTGTTGATGCTTTCATCCAGCTCAGGGAAACATTAATGCTCAAAATGGAGTCAAATGGGTGCACTTTTGCGAAGAGTTGCGTGTGGAAGTGGGTGGTGGTAGTGGGACGAATTCGAAAAGGGAAAGTCAAGTATTTATGCAAAAGGCGAACCTCTCTTGGGTGCACACATTTTGTAGACTTATCGTAATTCATGCGACCAGGTGCTAGCAGATGTGATTATACTCTTCTACTGTGTATGTCACATAGGCAGAGCAGATAATCAATGTCAGTCAGACGGACTTTGAATGGTTTGAGTTGCTATTCAATGGGTAGGAGGCTGTATAGCAATGAGAGTATATGCATCGGAAAGCGGACAGAAAGGTAACAGTGCTTTTGTGTAGCCTCAATTGCCCCCATCTTTGTATGAGCGACAACATGACACATTTCATAAGGATGCTAGGTATAATCAAAACAAATCGTGCGAATCGGCTGGTCTTGAAAACCAGGAGACGAGCGTAAAGGCGTCGTTTGTCGTAGTCTACAATGCATACAGACGCCCGCCGTCTCTTCTGATCCGTCTCCTTCGTCTTCATCACACGTATCGGTATCAGGATATTCATATCGTTTATTGAACGGCCTCAATTGCCAATATGATGATCAAAAGCGCTGTAACCTTTCAATACCGAGTTTGGTGAAAGTGTATGCTCGGAGCGTAAAGGTGATGATCGTTGTACCGGACTTCGTAAACCTGAACTGTTGTTATTCGATTGTCTTTGAGGGCGAGCACGTGTTTGAGCGACTGGCATAGTCTGTACTCTTATATTACGCAATCTTGGAGATGATGGAGGACTTTGAAGTGTTGATGTATGAGGACTTTGAGATGTTGATGTATGGCTTTCGCTTGTGGACTTTGAATGTGCTCCTTCTGAACGGCGTATGAAAACAGGATCAAGAGGTTTGATAGGGCTCGAGCCTACAATGAGCATAGAGCTTAGAAGGATTAGAGCGCTGAATGATGATGAGAAGATCATTTTCACAAAGCAACGATAAATTGTGTGGATGATGGGGAAAGATGAAATTGAAAGAATGCTAGAAATCATTATTTATATACATCAAAAGAAATTTACTCTGTCAATCAGTTGTGTATGCACCAAAATTCAGACAAGGTCTGAGAAACCGAAACTTTGGCGGACAAAAATGAGGCGATGCGATCACACCATTTGCGTTCCGGTCTATTTGCCCAATTCAGGATCGGTTAATACGTTTCGTTTGCGTTTCAACATATTCCCCGGCCTTTTTGACCATGTTACGCAAATTACCTTTCACTTCGGGAGTAAATGTATTTTGAACGGCTTTTTGTACAGGATCAACGACAAACTTTGCAAGTCGTTCATCTTTTTGTACTTTTTCAAAAGTTGATTTTGACATCGTCTCAAATTTATCAAACCAATTGTTCAACTTTGATTCACATCGAATCACTTCTTCTTCATGCTTGACATAATTGCTAGTAATCACACTACGTTGAGGCGGAGGAAGGATCTTTGATCTCTTTGACGGGATCACATCAACACATTCATCTGGCGATAAATGCATCGTACGTGCCCATACTTCAGCGCCTTGTGTCATCTTTTCTTCGTCGAAAAACATTTTTACATGGAAATTAGAGGTAACATTGTTGACTCAAAGGGCCTTAAGTATCCATCACGAATAAACAAAGAAAGTCACACTTTATCAAATGGCGTTCAAAGTGCCCCGCGAAGTACGTTCATGGGGCTGGTCATCTTAACAAACGGGTTGATTGGGGATAATAGTATACATGATTATTCTTATAAATACACAATTGTGCCTACACCGCTATGCACAGCTTCTGATTAACTCTTCAACCGAGACTGGATCGAATTGGCCCCGCTCTGACTTGCGTTCAAGGAAGATGACATCATCTTCAAGGTAAAATGTCAAGCCAGCCTTGCCATCAATCGCGCGTGAAATGCGATAAAGGGGCATTCCACTTCTCATGTCGGTCTTATTGAGTGTTTGAACGATTAAATCAGCCTCTGCAGCCGCTTCTTCGACAATTTGACGGAAACTGGCTGTGCTCGTTTCTTGGCGAGATGGTTTTGATCTTGACTTTTTGATCGATGTATCAGCTTCGTATTTACGGTGCAATTGTTTCAGATCTGGCATCTTGAGAGACAAACGATCAGATCGTAGAGCATCATCCATCATCTGTAAAGCTGCTTGAAAGCCGATCTGCACACTTTCACATTTGTCGACGTGCTTCGTTTCAAGGTATGATTTCCACTTGCTATACCAATCTGCAACCTCTACTGTGTTGCTATTCGGATTGGTGAGCATCGCATGCATCTGTTCAAGCCAATTGGGTATAAAGCCTGTCAACATGACTTTGGACAACATTCTACTGCCCAGCAAAGGCTTCCATTGTAGAACATCCTTCAAAGGCTGTCTATCTTGCGCTCGAGGGTTTGCAGTGATCTTGAGCTCCTGCCTCAGATACGTTGACAGCTTCTCCACCACATACTCCAACAGCATCGAATCCCATTCGCTTGTACGGAAAACGTCTCTCCATTTACGCAACTCGGATGGAATACCCTTTGAGACTCTCCATGATTTGAGTGATGAACGGATTCGCCTCTTTGCTTCTGAGATGATATCGTCCATTTGGTGATGCAAGAGTGGCATCCATGGGAACACAACTTTGTATAAAGCACTCTTACCGTCCCAATCAGAAACAGCAGAGCGCAATTTAGGCAAAATGAGTTGATGGGTGACATTGTCGCGAATGAAAGCCGGTAAGAGGGGTGTCCAAGATTCATAGAACTTCGTGACTGCAGTCGAATCGTATACGTCCCATTCATTGTTTAATGCAGATCGCACGGGTGGCATCCAAACATTCCACAGAAGAGATTGATATGGCGTCATGATCTCCTCCTTGACTGAAATGCGAAGCGCACCACTGATGCTCTTCAGAGGGATGCAAAGCCGGGTAGGATCTTGCAGCAATGACCATTGAGATAGCTCACGCTTGAAGATTGGGATAATTGCTCCAACAAGCGCTGCATCGATCTCCATCTCGGCTATGGCATCTCTATGGCGTTGTAGGATGTCCTGCACTGGTTGCATGAAACTGTCCAGGCCGATCCTAGGGTCAGTCGCGGCACGTTTTCCGAGCAGTTCAATCTCTCCAACGATTTTGGCAATAATCTCTACACGATCGTGCTTGGTAACAAGATTCTGTTTGCGACGTACGGCTTCATGCAATTCACGCTCGAGCCACTTACGACGATCTTGAATAGCTGACCCTTCATTTGCTAACAGGTCGAGCGCTTTCGAATTTCCATCACAAATGAGCCGAAGATTATGTCGAATCTCGATCAATTGTGTGCTGTCATTTGTCGGGACAGCATGTTTTGCAAGGGCAGCGGATAAAGATGAATACTCTTTACCAGTAGCATCAACGATGATTTGATTCTCCCCACTTGGAGCAACATAATGGCCATGTTCTGCCAAGATCTGTTCATAGGTACGATGTTCAATTTTTGGCTTTCGCGGTTTGCGTTCGGGTTTTGTCCATGCGTGGGTGTCAGCTTTTGATGAAGGCTTTTTGGCTTTTGCACTTTTTCTCTCTTTGTGCTCCTCATCTGAGCTTACTTGTTCACCACGTCTACGTGCTTCTTCTTTTGCTTGTTTCGTCTTTTCTTTAATACCGCCAAATGCTATACCTGCACGTTCCGGTCTTTGTTTGACTTCGATCGGTTTTACGATACCTTCGCCTTGTTTACCAAGACCACCTCCAGACCAACCCATCTGAGCCAGGTACTTTGCCGGATCAAACTTGCCACCTCCTGTCTTGAATGAGATCTTTGGTACCTGGCCGGTGAAAGCATTGGTGTTGCTTGCTTGTGTTGCTCGCTGTGAGAAAGCGGAAGACGGTGGTGCATCCTGCTGAAGGGTGCTCGTCTCATTGGACATTTTTGGAGACTCTTTCGCAGGCATGAATTGATTCAGCGAGCTCATTCTCGGTGCTGCGCTTCCGGAAGCTTCTGCATCGAAGCCTCTACTGCTTCCTATTCCAGCCCTTCCGATACCAGCCCTTGGCAGCGCTCGGTCATCTTCGTCAATATTGTCTGGCTCCCTTTGGCTAGCCCCGATGCCCAATTTTGAAGAGCCTATCCCACCTCTAGATGAAACGAATGATGCTGGCTTAAATTCGCTGCTCTTTGTGAATCCTTGATCCTCCATTGTGGGCGCCGTATTGAAAGCATTGCGCATCTCAATCTCCTCTTCCTCTTCAGCAGCTAAGCGGGCAAATCGTTCCATTTCAGAAGAGCTAGATTCAGCTTCACTCTGATCACTGTCAGATTCGCTCACGTCCATTTTATTATCACTTTCTGCATGCGATTCCACATTATTCTTGGCAGATACAAAAGCTTGTCCGCGCAAATAATCAATCTTTTTTCCTTTTCGATCTTCGCCATGAACGGTTCTACCTATTCCACCTCTTTTTTCGTTCTCTGCTTCATCTCCAAAGATGCCATAGACTGCATCTTCTTTCCCTTTCCCTTTCTTATTTGGAGCAGAACCAGAAGATGAACCTGAATCGGACGAATAAACCTCGTCCAAGACCCCCCTCTTTCGCCGTGCCATGATGGTTGTGGGAGGAAGATGGAAGATTGGATGCATGTAAGTTTTATTTTTATTCGGCGAATTCTTAAGACTAAAATCGCGTCTTTTTCCTGTACGCACGAATGCATGCGATGCAGAAGAAGATCTCCAAAGCTAATCCAACACCATCAACCCCTACATGGCAGATCGATAGCCTTACTGTGACAACGCCCATATCGTCACGATGTTTGAACGATCATTAAGTTCACTCATCAAGGGGCTAAGATCACATCGGGGCAAAGATGAAGCAAGATATGTGGCTACATTGATGGATGAGATCAAGATGGAAGTTCGAAGTGGTGATATGGAAATCAAAGCAGAAGCAATTTTGAAGCTTACTTATTTGCAAATGCTGGGATATGCTCCTTCAAATGCATCTTTTCATATGCTTGAGGTGATGGCATCTCCTCGCTTTCATTTGAAGCATGTAGGATATTTAGCTGCATCGCAAACATTCACGCAAGATACCGATGTTTTAATATTGGCAACAAATATGGTCAAAAAAGATCTTCGGTCATCTTCTTCACTGGATATTGCTGTGGCACTCAACGGTTTATCGCACATTTTGACGCCGGACTTGGCCCAGCATCTCTCTTCAGATGTCATCACTCTCCTCACACACACCAAACCAGTCATACGCAAAAGAGCTCTTCTCGTTCTCCATTCAATCATTTTGCAGTATCCACCAGCTCTCGAACAAGCTTTGCCAAAAATAGCAGAAAGGCTAGATGATCCTGACAATGGCGTTGTATCGGCAACTGTGAATATCGTTTGCGAATTGGCTCGTCGAGATGAAAAGATTGCCAAAGCTTTCTTGCCTCTATCTCCGCAATTGTTTCATCTATTGACTAATTCAACAAATAATTGGATGTTGATCAAAATCGTCAAGCTTTTTGGTGTTCTCACACCACTTGAGCCAAGGCTGGCAAAGAAGCTTCTGCCGCCTATCACCACACTGATTACAACAACGCCAGCAATGAGTTTATTGTATGAGTGTATGCATACAGTCATCATTGGTGGGATGCTGGAGGGCACAGGAGGCGATGAATTGGCGGCTACATGCTCAGAGAAGCTTGGGGTATTTCTGGAGGATGACGATCAAAATTTGAGGTATATCGCTCTGTTGGCTCTGGTAAAGATTTTGCCAACGCACCCACATCTCGTTGCTGTGCATCAAGATAGCATTTTTGAGTCGATGGATGATGAAGATCTAAGTATTCGATTTAGAGCGTTAGATTTGGTTTCAGGAATGGCAAGTCGTGAAAATTTTGTGGATATTGTAGAACAGCAATTACGGTATTTGGACCCTAGTAAGACTGTACCTAAGCCACCCTCAGCAGCACAAGCTTTACGTCAAGCAATGCAAGCAAATGGTGCAGTAGCCAATGCACCTTCTACCTCTTGGATTACTGCCTCTTATCGACTGGAAATCATTAACCGAATCTTAGACCTTGGATCGCAAGATACGTACACGAATATTGTTGATTTTGAGTGGTACGTCGATGTTTTGGTCCGTCTGCAACAATTGGCAGGCAATGCTGTCGGTTTCCGTATTCAAGAGCAGTTGATCGATATAAGCGCGCGTGTACGGGCCATTCGGCCACACGCAATCTACAAATTGAAACAGGTGATCGAAGATTTCAACTTTATCGATGGGCGTAGTGGGGAAAGCGGACAAGAGTTACTGATCCTTCGAGCTGCTGCTTGGATTTGTGGGGAGTATTGTCAACATGTTGCCTATCCTCCGGCCATAATCAGTCTTTTGTTACGATCGGAGACATTAAAGGTTTGTGATGGAGTCACACGGGCGATGGTGGTGCACAATGCTATCAAATTGTTCGCGTGGTGGCTATTGGAACAAGGACGTCAATGGACCGAGGATAAGCTGAAAGATGTGCAGACAGTCACAAATGAGGTTGCTTCGAGTATAGAGAGTACACTCGCGATCGCAAATGACATTGAGTTGGAAGAGCGTCTTTCGGAGTTCAATGTGTTGGTTAACATTTTGCAGGGCGATCTTCAAAACAGGACGCAGGTCGGGACAGAGAAGGATTCACAGAAGGATGTACAACAGGATGCCGCCAAGGAATCGCCCTCTGCACCAAAAAGTCTACAGCTTCTGTCACCATTGTTCTTTGGACATGCGTTAGGACCGGTTGCAAAGAAAGCGCAGAGTAAGGTTGCTGTACCGTCTGGCTTGGATCTTGATACATGGTTCGTCGAGCCTGCCGGAATTCGCATCATAGATGAATGGGAGGCAGAAGAAGCAGCAAAGAAAGCGGAGGCGAAAGCTGCTGGAGGGAAGACGAAGCGGAAAGGAAGCGAATCAGAGAAAACTGCTGATTCACAAGAACGGAGAAAGTTGAAAGCAGAAAGGCTAAAAAGGCAAAGCGAATCGCCTTTCTATCTTGGATCCAAACCTGGTCAGACGAAAGCGCAGCCGGCTAATCTGATCGATGATCAGGGAGACGATATTGATTCGATCCCGATCGTACAGCTCCAGCTTGATGAGAAAGTGAACGAAGCCAAGACGCCGCCCATCATTCCACAACAAGAGGAAGAAGAAATGCCAGATGCTGCAGAGGTGGAAAATGTAGCTGTTCGAAAGGCTGTATCCAAAAAGAAGAAGCGGTCAAAAGGAGTTTCAGAAGCAACACTTCAATAAACATGTACAATTAGAGCATTTCATACCATAGCAATTCATTATACATACACATACATACATTGAGTGCAATTTATAATACAGATGATGACATTGTTGTACAGAAATGAGTTATTCTTGATCAACTTCTTCTTCTTCTTTCCACTCTGCCAATTCTCCGAAATAACAAGAGAGTGCTTTGCAACGACCGCGAAGCCATTGTTCCTCGACTGAGATCTTGGACTGTGACCCATTCTTGTCCACCAGAGATGCCAATTCCTGCAAATCTACCGTACGTGGTACAAACATGCACACGTTTGGTGTTAGCTTGGAGGCTGTTTCGAACAAGTCTTTCCCACCAGAAGGAGCCAAAGCTGAGAGCGGATAAAAGTTCTCATCTTGTTCGACATCGATGGTGGGAGTGGCAGGTGCAAGTGGCACAAACTTTTGCGGCGTTTCACTTTGAAGAGTTCGATAAGATACACCGCCCCAAGGAGGTGAAAGAAAGACGACGTCAAAGTTGAGTTGTTGACATTTTTGCCAATTCAAATCGTCCGATTGTTTATCTGCTGCGAGTGCGTTTGTGTCTCTGTCACGAATCCATGCTTTTGAAAATTCACGCCAATCACCTTGCAGAAAGGTGATGTATTGTTCCACTCCATACACTCGAGCGTTATGTTTTGCCATTTCAAGTTTGATCGGATCAATATCGATCGCAATCACTCTTTCACACGTCAGTGCAAATTGGATCGCATTTCCACCTACACCGCAAAAAGCATCCAACACGATTCCACATCTACATCTCTGTGCGATTCGAGCTGCGATTGGTTCAGGTGTGATACTATACCAAGATTCACGATCAAGCAATGGAAGTTCTCCAGTGATTGAAGATCCATCAAATAATGTAAACAGAGATCTTCTCTGTCTCCAATACTTCAACATGTTTTCTGGAAATTGATCAGCTTCTGTAAGTGCATGATCGTAGATGTCTCCTGATCTTTCTTCTTCATCTTCTTTCGTGCCAAACGTTTGACCATACGATCGCTTTACGTTTGTTTTGCGATTCTTGCGTCTTGGCATCTTTTGGTGGTGGAGAGAAGAATGTGCCTGCATGAGGAATTGTTTTTTTATCTTAGCGTATTTCTGGGCGTAATGCTGAGCAAAGATGATAGATAGTGACATAAACTGCCATCGTCACAAGAAGAGCCTTATCAAAATGAATCGTAATGAGAGAAGATATGATACAATAAATATTGACTTTACCACCCTTTTTACACAGAGACAGGCCATTGCTTCTTTGCATCGGTCAATGGCACATACATTACACCGAACTGTTTCTCCTTTGTGATTTTACCCTGTTCATCTTTATCAACGTGCCAGATATCCTGTCCTAGCCCGTTTGGATCCTCAACGGGAATGAACATCCTTCCAGGTTTAGCAAGTTGTTCGATCAAAGGTTCAGGAATCGTACTCGCAGCCGCACCAACGTGAATAGCAGAATAAGGACCTCTTTGTGGATATCCTAATCGTCCATCTGCCTCCATCACTTCCAGGACACCTTCTTGTAGCTCTTTCTCAAGTCCGTCTTTCTGCAAATTTGATCGTGCCATGTCCACCAATGGTTTGAGATGATCAATCCCCAAGACGTATGCATTCTCTCCTTTGACTAAATGCCAAAAGATTGCCATTGTATATCCACTTCCACTTCCGATATCCAACACTTTTCCACCTTTGTTCAAAAATGGCAGAAGTGCTTCCACAGCATAAGCATGCATATGGGGAGCAGAGATTGTTGCTCCATAGCCTATAGATTGAGGACTGTCAAGGTAAGCATCTTTCTGAACAGGGACATAACATTTTCTATCCACTTTTTGCATTGCTTGAAAGACAGTGTTTGTTTTGATCAAACCTGCTGAACGCATATTTGACAGCAGTTCATGATTGCTATTTCCGCTACATCTCCATGCCATCTTGTCAGAATGAGTGCTTGTTAGAGGTGATCATTGATCCAAAGTGCATTCATTCAGCATGGAGTTAATGTACAAGCCCGCTTGGCCCCTGCACAAATCCGCTTTTCCTTCCAGTGGAAGTTCGGAAGACGCGCTGCGCTGCTTTAGTGCAGATTTAATTGCCGAGTGTGTGTGTGTGTCGTTCGACATTCGATCACAATTGTGCTGCACACGAGCCCTTCCCTAAGAGTGATCATATGCACTGTTTTGCCACGGATAAGAATTCCCTTTTGCCTGCATAGAGTGTATGAACAAGAAACACTTATAAGTGGAGGATAGGATAGCATTCATTCTCCCTCCAACCAATCATCATCATCACTCAAAATGTCAGGTAAAACTCACAGAGCAGCACAAGTTAAACAAGCCAATGGCAAATTGGAAATTGTTAACAAACAAACTCCACAAGCCGGCAGAAATGAAATCTTGATCAAAGTTGTTGCAAGTGGTATTTGCGCTTCTGATCATTTCACAATGACAGGTATGATGAATTCACCTTATCCACTTTCACCCGGTCATGAAGTTGTGGGTAGAATTGAAACTTTAGGTCAAGATTGCAGTAAAGATTGGAAAGTTGGTCAACGTGTAGGTTTAGGCTGGAACGGTGGTTATTGCCATCAATGTACATTTTGCCGTAAAGGTGACTTTGTTCATTGTCAAGCATCAAAAATCACAGGTGTAACAATCGATGGTGGTCATCAAGAATTCGTCTTGGCTTCCGAATCGGCCGTTGTTGATTTACCAGAAGATCTCAAAATGACAGATTCTGAACTCGCACCTTTGTTGTGCGCTGGTAACACAGTTTATGAAGCCTTGTTGGATGCTGGCTTGAAGGCTGGTGATACCATCATCGTACAAGGCTTGGGTGGTTTGGGCCACATCGCCTTGCAAGTCGGACGCAAAGCAGGAGCCGTTGTCGTCTGCATTTCCGGATCTCCCGAAAAGAAGGACTTGGCACTCAAATTAGGTGCACACTACTATTTCTCTTCAAAGGATAACCTCGAAGAAGAAATGAAGAAGATTGGTCCCGCAAAGATTGCTCTGGCCACAGCACCAAGTGGTGACGCACCCAAACAATTAATCCCTCTTTTGGACAAATACGGTAAATTGATCATCGTTGGTACACCAAATGACGGAAAAGAATTAGGAGTGAACACGATGGCTTTGATTTCTCAATATATTGGTGTTCAAGGAGCAAAATGCGGTCATGCGGCTGATAATGAACACTTTATCAAATGGTGCAACCTTGCTGAAATCAAATCGATGAGTAAAGAATGGCCATTGGAAAAAGCACACGAGGCTTTGACCGATACGTTTACAGGCAAGCCACAATTCCGCAACGTTATCGTTATGGGTCATAAGTAGGCTGTGGGGGTTCAATGTTATCTCTGAAATGTTCATAAGTTAATATATCGTTGGTATTTTCATCTTTGTGTTTTGTGAGATTTAAGATATTTGAACATGAAGAGACGTCCTGCAAGCCGACTGGCGGTGTGGAGTGTTCCACGTGAACTTGGCCGTGCCTGGGCCATCTTTCCACTCACGCATGAATTTTCCCCGTGCGTGTGTAACTTTTTGGCTGTGCATGCATGCTGCCTTTAGAACATCCTCTCATCCCTTTCCCCTTTCTGATCTCGTCGCCACCACCACATTCTCCAACATGTCTTTACCATACGCAGTTGATGCTGAACAACCACTTCAACCTGCCGAATTGGCAGTTTTACGTGATCAATACTTAAACGAATTAAATCAAGGTCATGCTTCAACACAAACAAAGTTTAATTATGCTTGGGGTTTGGTAAAAAGTAGAAAGAGAGAAGATATGGCTGAAGGTGTTGCCCTTTTGACAGGTGGGTTATCGTGTGGGAATTAGGGAAGGAAGTGCAATTGTTGACTTTATCATCCCTGTTCTCTAGAAATCTACCGCTCAGATCCACCACGTAGAAGAGAGTGTCTTTACTACCTCTCTTTGGGACACTACAAGATGGGAAATTACGAAGAAGCCAAGAGATTCAATGGTGGGTACCTGCTTGCAGAGCTTGAGATTGAATCATAAACTTACCCTTTCCCCCCTTCTTATCAGCCCTGCTAATGGAACGCGAACCTCACAATCAACAAGCTCAAAGCTTGAACCAATTGATCGAAAAAGGCGTTGCAAGAGAAGGATATATCGGTATGGCATTGATGGGAGGAGCAGCTGCCGTCGGAGGTGTGATTTTGGCCGGCTTGATGCGTCGTGGAAGAAGGTAAATTAAGGAACTTGTTAATATTCTTACTCGCGATTTCATGCATTTATCATATTTGACAATGAGAGTGAAACCGTTCTTATAAGCGTGATCTCACCGACACTAGAGTGTAATTGTGTTTGCGTGCAAGTTCGAATTTATGATACATGTTCTGATCCCCTCTCTCAATCAGCATTCCTGATGAGCATTCTGATATTATTCAGGAACACCAAAATTGAATCGTAATACGGTGTCCATTCTTCCCGACTTGCAGCATGAACGGAAGCCTGGGCTGATCGCAGTAATTCGTTAGCATCCTTGAATTCTAGCTCGAGTTCATTGGTGGGCTAAAGATGATATAAAAGTCAGAAAAATGCATCTTTAAAATCCGTTAACGTCAATTGACTCACCTTTTCGTCCCCTGCCGGTGAAGAAACCTGTGTCAGATCAACGCAGATCTGTTGATGGGTATAATGCAGGCGATTCTTCGATCGTTGAAAGTCAGATTCTTGATGCGTTGGCTCAGCTAAAAAAAAGGGGGGCAGGGTGTCAGTGGCATACAAAAAAAGTTTCCCATAGCAAATCTACTCACACCGTGGCTCTTCCACATTTATGCTGATCCTATAATCCAGCGATCGATTAGGGCAATAGACGTTTATATCATTCAACCTCTTCTTCATGATCGTTGCCTTTGTTTGCCATGAATCTTCATCTTTCGTCACTCTGATCTTACTCCTGTTATCGCCATTATCATCGGTATAAAACAAATCAACCTCTTTCTGTCTTTGATACGTAATCTTTCCCGAACTCTGTTCAACTGCTTTATTGAGTAATCCATTAATCTTTTGATGTTGTGCATCAGACATATGACTTTCAAATCTCCAGCCACGTTGCATATCAATGATCGTTTCTGTTCGGACTGGAATTTGAATACGTTGTCCTGTATCGTGATCCATTATCCGTCCAACTTTTGCTTCTATCTCTAAGTTAGTATATCCTTGACCATTTTCCGATAGCCAATCTCCTATCAAGACTGAGAATTCATCCGTTGGATCCCATCCCAGAATACTCCGATCCAAAGGTGGATTAGGCCATGATGCTGATGCGGTGGCCATGTCTGTGTGATGGAATGGAAGTGATGGAGTTGCATGCACGAGAAGAAACGATGTCAAAATTAAGCTATGATTGTCTGTGCATTCCAGTCTGCCGTGCCTTAATTATTCATATGGTAGAGCGTGAAGACTCACGTGTTTGACAGAGCGAAGAAAAGTCGCGAGGAAAAAAAGTGGGAAGAATCTTGAACACTCATCCTACTCTTATCGCCAATACACGCATTCGACAATATTTGATCGCAATCGCATATGAGCCATTATTGAGAGCTTTATCTACGTCTAATTCATTCGTCCCGCTCATTCCCGTTCGCAAAACAGCAATTCTTCTTCCCCATCTTTCTCTTACCCGCCAATACACACATTCGACAAAATTTGATCGGAATCGCATATGAGCCGTTATTGAAAGCTTATTCTACGTCTAATTCAGTCATCCCGCCTCGTTCCCGATCGCACAACAACAATCCTCCCCGCCATCTTTCCCACCCTTCCCCCATACTGCTGGCTTATTCGTCACGTTGCCTGAATCGAAGCCGGGCAATGGTTGAGGGAAAACCAGCAAAGATTCAAATGCCAACTTATTACATATTGAGAATCTTGCTCGATCAAAAAAACGCATTATACTTAAGAAAAGTTGGCGAAATTCCTTCATTGTTGTCATTCCAATTATTTATTCATAAAATGATCATGAAATTCAAAACATTATATACTATTTATTGTACTACATAGACTAACTAGACTGTGTGCTATGCTACCACACTTAATATGCAGAGAAACCTCCATCGGGACGCAAGTGTGTACCGGTGATGTAAGAAGCACTTTCGCTGATCAAGAACAAAGCTGCATCACCTTGTTCATGTGGTTCGGCAAATCTACGAAGAGGGACAGAGCTTGCTTGGTAATCACGAATGGATTTATCCATGACAGATGTTTGTTCTGTGTTTGTAAATCCAGGTTCCAATGCGTTCACACGGATATTGTATTGTGCGAATTCAGCTGCTAATCCTTTGACCATGTTTGTTGCTGCACCTTTGCTTGCATTGTAGAAAATTTGAGTCAAAGGATCGTTCAAACCTTTTTGGTTGTACAATTCTGAGCTCATACTTGAGGTGACAACGATAGAACCACCTTGGTACTTCTCATTTACCCAATGTTGAGCAACGGCTTGGGCACAGTTAAATGCACCCAAGACATTTGCATTGAACACTTTGTGGAAATCTTCCGATGTCAATTCCAATGCTGGCTTCACGACTGAAACACCTGCATTTGCCATCATTGCAGCGATAGGATGTTCGAAATCCTTTTCAATTTGTTGGATCGTCTTGATCACCAATTCACGATCACCTACATCGCATTGGTATGCCTTTGCCTTTACGCCGTATTTCTTGGCTACATTCTCGGCAATTTCATGAGATTTTGGGTTGGAGTGGTATAAGAGGGCCACATCACCGCCTGCGTTGGCAACCGATTCGGTAATGGCGAGACCGATGCCTCTCACACCACCACTAATGATCACGGTGCGACCACTCAAATCAATCTGCAAAGACGAGGAGAAGGAATAGGAGAAGGAGGAGGGTTAGGAGATGAGGAGGAGGTTAGCAAGGGGTCGTATTCAACCTCATAGTGATGGGTACGATTGAACTTACCTTGAAAACCATCTTTGTGTAATTCAAGTTTAGGGAAGAGAAGAAAGAGTGCTAATAAGAAGATTGAAATCTAGAGTTTAGATGATGATGGTGTAAGAGAATAAGCTATTGTGTTTCCCAAAGGAGATGTTAAGGTATAAAAGTGCATTTATGCATTGCATCACTATCGGTCCTTCCTTCCGCGAAAGTGTTCCCGCCCGCCAGTGTCACACACACACACACACACAAGGGTCAGCGTATAAAGGTGGAGGGAAAACAATGCAATCCGATTTACACTGCTCTTTTGCCCATCTTCTCACGTCTGTGCATTATACACACACGCTTGCATCTATGAACTGTAACCCTGCAAACCCTACCATATCAATAACCTGGGTGTAGACATAATTAGCATGATGATGAATGAGTATAATGAGATAATTGATGATATTGCTAAAGTACAAAATGCTATGATGATAAAGTCAAATTAAAGACCAAATTTGATTAAAGAACTTTTGGTATATTCGAATGCAAGAAAGAGAACGGCATTCGCAGGGATAGCTCTCAAAACTGTTGGACCAACGCCGGCAAAGAATGCGTTTAATCCGCCTTCAGCATACGTTTGACGAGCGGCAAACATGAATGCATTGCCCGATCTCGTATCCGTTGCCTGAACTCTTGTTTTGATCACATCGATCGCAAACGTTGACAGCCAGCCAACAACGCCTGCCAAACCTCCTGAGATTGCCATTTCAGCATTGCTCAATTGATCTATTCCTTCATGATGAAAAGAAGCGAATGTTCGATTAAACACTTCATACGATAAAAAGTAAGGTCCATATCCTAAATCTCGAATTGATGTTGTACCCAAACCTCTATATAATCCTCTAACACCTCTCTTTCGCCAAATATCTCGAATGACTTGCAAAGTTGAAGGTTGTCTTTGATTTGTTGAGTTATAACTAAGCTGCTGTCGTATTTTTATCAATTCGATCGGACTTGTTATTAATGCGGAAACGACACCACTTGCACAACCTGCCAAGAAGATATTTGTCAATTTTGCTTGATCGTCATTTCCAAGAACCCGAAGTGCTAATCCATATACACCAAAGACTGATGCATTCATTGCTGCCACACCTAGCATAGGCGATGTTATCCCTTTGTATAAGCCAACGAATCGCTCTTCTGCAACGATTCTGCGTAACGCATCAAAGGCAGAAGAATAGCGAGGAAGTGTTTGTTGCAACAAAGGCGTACCAGAAGAAGCTGAAATGGCTACATTTTGTTGTATGGGCACGATGGAAGAATGTGATTGTGCTTGTAATCGTGTTTTGATAGTATCGAATGGATGACCGGCTGCTAAACTTGCAATTCCGCCAACTGTTCCCGCAATGAAATCTACCAATGGAGATGGTTCCAAAAGCGGCTTATTCGTTATATTCGGTCTTAAGCCAAGTCCGCGGTGATCATCAATTGATGACATCTATTCCCTGCCTTTCTCTCGGTCTCTCGGAGTTCGGTATTTGTATGTATGTACACAGTTTATTGACAAGTTTGACAGAAGGAGAGAAGAAAAAGGTTGATTTAAATTTTGTTTCTTCTTCTTCTTCCTTTGTTTCGGATAATTAAATTTACCTTTTAGCCGAATCAATTCAAACACAAATGGCTTGTGCACAGCACGGCGCCGCCACAATAAAACAAACAAGACAGCAAGCAGGTACATTACATACGGCTACTTTTTACGCATTACCGTAACCGGATCCGTGGCATGGTCGCCTTTTCGGCCGTAAAGACAAACACAAAGGATATAAAAACATTCTCAATTTGTTCCCGTTTTGATCTCTTCCACCATCACACACTCTTCCATCATGGCTGCTACCACTCTTCCAAAAACATACAAATCATGGGTATTGAACGAATACGCCAAAGGGCCGATCAACTCCAACACATTCAAACTCAAAGATGTTCCAATGCCAGATGTGAACGCATTACCGGTAAATCATATCCTCATTCGCGTTCAACGAATCGCAATGGAACCTTCAATGCGTCCTTCAATTTCAGAAGGTAAATCTTATCGTGAACCACAACCATTAAATGAACCAATGTGGGCTTTTGGAATTGGTGAAGTTGTTGGATCTTCAACTGATAAATTTAAAATCGGTCAACAAGTTGCTTCAATGGTTAACTTTCAAGAATATGCTTTGATTGATATCACTAATCCTGCTATTCGTACTTTCCCTGTCGATCCTCGTGTTGGCTTGGAATACCTTTCTGGCTTAGGCGCTCCTGGTCGTGCTGCTTACTGGGGTTTGATCGAAGTGGCTCGTGTTAAAGAAGGTGATGTAGTCTTGGTCAGTGCAGCTGCAGGTGCAACAGGTTCAGTTGTTATTCAATTAGCCAAAGCAAAAGGTGCAAAACAAATCATCGGTATCGCAAGCAAGTCCAAACAACAATTCGTCTTGGATCAAGGTGCAGACGCTTGTTTGGATTACAGTGCACCCGATTTCGCTGAACAACTCAAAAAAGTAACAAAAGAACAAGTTTCAGTATACTTTGACAATACAGCAGGCGCAATCACTGATGCCGCTTTAGCATGCATGGCTCCTCATGGTCGTGTTGCCGTTTGCGGTGCAATTGCTGATTATCAAAAGATTGGCGGTAAAGAAGGCGGTCATTACGGTATCACAAATTGGCGTTACATTCTCACAATGCGTCTTCGTGTTGAAGCATTTGTCATTCCGGATTGCACGCCTGAAGAACATCAACGTACAACCGATCAATTGGTTGGCTATATCTCTCAAGGTAAAGTTAAAACTCAAATTTACACTTTCCCTAAACAAGGTGTAGACCATTGCGTTGAAGCTTTGGAGGGTCTTTTCACCGGTTTGAACACCGGTAAGATGACCATCAAGATTGCCGATTAAAGAAGAGGCATTTGTAGTGAATCTAAAATTTTGTACCATTGTGAAATAAATATTGACTTGTATCTAGCTAATGATCGCATCCGAGCAACTCTTAAGACAAAGTTAGATTGTATTCCATTATGATTATGACTAACTTTTACAGACTGGGAGGACGACAAACGGGCTCATCCGGTCCTTCCCCTCCACTGATGAGCGTTCCGATCGTCTGAGATCCTGCAAAGACCACGCAAATGATTCCAAAGGCCAAAAGGATATAATCCAAAATGATTGTCCTTCTCTTTGTCGCACAAGCACGTAAATGCAACAAAGGTGGATAAATGAAGCATAAAGGAACACAAGCAGTCGAACCAATAAACGAAACGAAAACGTCCAAAGAATTTGATCCTAACCAAGCAGCAAAAGTTGAAACAATCACAATTGAAGCTCTAAATGCATTCTTTCCTAATTTTACCTTTTCGTTATATTTTCCACTTTTGCTTGCAAACATTGCTCTTTCTAAAATTGAAACCGCAGGGAACAATTGTAGTGGCGTACTTAGCAGGATTGCCAAAGAATACAAAAATTGCAAAGCTTGAACGAATTTAGAAGATTGCGGAAGATTGGTGATCACCACAGTTTGGACTGCGCTTCCGAATGACATGTACGACAGAGCACCACTTGTGGCGAATAAGAGCATCACACCAACCATGACTCCGGACAAAGCACGTGGGAAACGTTCTGGCTCTTTCATACTCTCGGTGATCGGAATGACCAAGCCGATACCTTCGAATGTGAATACTGCCGTTCCGATAAAGAGCGGGAATGTCTTGGAGTTGAACATGACCACATCTGCCAATCCTTCTTGTGCGATTTGTCGAATCTCGAATTGGAACAGATAGATGATTCCAAACAGGATAAAAACATCTGCAATCAATGCAGTGGAAGACAGCTTTGCAATCTTTCTGACCAGGCTCAAAGGTAAGAAGATGGCACATTGTGCCAAAATAAACCAAACTGTTGGAATCAAAGTACGACATTGTGTAACGGCCAAAACGAATGCTTGCAAATTTTGTGCAACAAAGACCGTGTATGCAGCCACAAAACCGATTTGTGAAAAGACAATAGATGCCAAAATAGCCGATCGCATCTTAGGTCCATACAGAATACCACCCATTTCACCGAATGAGGCATTGTGTTTGAGGTTCACTTTGACGAGTAAGAGGAAACTACCCAGTGAGATCATGGCAATAGCACACAGAACCAGGGTTGAGAACAGAAGACCTCCATTGTGGAAAGCCTTACCCAAGAACAAGATTCCGGTACCGACGAATGATTTCAATAACATCAACACTGCGTCCGTTACGGTTGCTTCACCCCGTCTGCGTTCGTTATTTGTACTTCCTCGTCGTAAGCGGGAACCGCCGGGACGTTTGGAGGTTCCTCTCCGGATTAAGGGACTTCTCTCAGTTGCGTCTCTACTTGACGTTGCTCTTCCGAGAGCTTCTTCTTCGTCTTCCTCATCTTCCTCATCGTCATCTTCCAGCTCGTTCAAATCTTCACCAGCAAAATGTCCATACAGACTTAGGAAATCGATGAAACTTCTCAGCGCACGTGGAGGTGGTCTGCCTTGCTCGGCAGCTTGATTCAAGATGAAGTAACGACGAAAACCTCCTGGCTCACGAATCGCACTTGTGTCTAGATCAGGATCAATGGTAGATGTACGTGGTAGATGAACGCTTTCCGATCGCGTCCGTTTAGCAATTCTGCGTTTATTCTGATGTGCCCATCGATAAACATCGTCTGTTATTGCACCTCCTTGCATTTGATGTGGTCCGTGATACCCATCATCTAACTCTTCAACTTCTTCTGATACTTGTGAATCACTTGCATCTTGTGATTCTGCAGCGGATATGGGTCGTGATCGGGAGTGATCTCTTGAACGTGCTGCTGATGCAGATTCACTCTCATCATGTTGATCGGACGTTGGGAAGCTTACATTAGAGATTGCACCCGTTTCTGTACGTGCAAGAGCTAGATGTCTTGAAATAATCCTTGCTTTTTGTTCATCAGAGATTGGTAAACTATCTAAATCGCTCATATTCGTTGGCGTTGGTATTTCTGAATCATTTATTGGAGTAGAAAATGATGTTCTTTCCCTTCCACGTCTTTGACCATCGCCTAATTGTGTTTCTGAATTACCCCTTTGTGGTGTTAAAACGGGTGATTGACCATACAAGGGAATATTTGGCAACTGAGGTGAAACACCGTAAGCTGGCATAGGGGCTGCATCATCATTGAGTGTCTCTTCCTGACTATTGGAGCGTTTATCTGCCATCGTTGGGCTATTTTCTAAAAGTGATGATGGTATTTGTCAAACGACATGTATATATGTGCATTCATTCATTAATTCGATTATATGCACCAACACCATATGGACAAGCCTGCCGCCGAAACAAGAATTCGAGAGGCGTGTTATATTATTTATTCCGGCTGTTGTAGTGTGTGTGTGTGCATGTGTTGTTTAACTCCTGAGTAAAAACTGTTTTGCAGTGGAGAAATGTTGGCCCCTTCCCTTACCCGCACGTGTACCTGCGCGTTACAAATTAAAAAGTTAATTTTGATTTTAGCTTCGTTTCTTTCTGTTGGAACTGGTAATCATTCAAACAACTGTTCCTTACACAATCGACAGTCATTTATGTGGACGCATATAGCGAGATGATCAATCAGAGATAGGTGATTCGAATAATAAAGGCAAGTCATATGTGAACTGACCCAACGGAAAGAAGCTAGCAGAGAGCGAAAAGAAGAGTGCTAATGATACACACTCCATAAAACGAAAAATACCCGGAACCGTTGTCGATCTATCAAATGCGCTAGAACTTACAGCTTCTGCCTCATCCAAAGAGCAGGAGAAGGGTAAGATATTCTCTTCAATTGGAATATCTGCTTAGAAGAAGAATTCGAGGTACGCAGTAGTGAAATTCTCTTGTTCAATCGGATGGTTCTTGGTGTAAGATGCTAATGAACCAACTTTCGACAGACAGGACGAAAGAAAAATGACAGATACCAAAGTATGTACATTCGACTGTGGCTGCTGCTGCTTCTGATTCGATTTCCCGGAACAAGTTGTTTTTTTGAACGGCATGATACTATGTCAAATTCACTAATCTTGCATATGCATGCGACTCATCATTCCCTACCCACGCACACACACAAAATCTGCCCTTCCCTTATCACGAACCTCGTCATTATTCCCAAACGATGGTACGCTCATTAGAAGGGCAAAGAATAACTTGTATAATACAGAAATAGCCTGCTTTCGCTATCACTCTCAGGGTTTTCAGCCCGATGAGGAGTCATAGATAGTAGCTCGCATACATTCAATGAAATTCGTCAATGATATATGTCACCTTAAAAAAGAACAGCCTGTCAGATCCGTTGGAGCTTATGTACCGTCTGTTGGACAGTATGCACAGTCCGTTGAACATGATGCACCGTCCGTTGGATTTGATGTGCCGTCCATTGAACTTGATGTACAGTCCGTTGAAGTTGACTTACCATCCGTTGAACCTGATGTACCGTGCATTGGATTTGATGCATCGCCCGTTGGACCTGATTTGCAACATCTACTTTGATATCAGGATAGTAGGAGTAGTGCATCTCTATGAAATTGCATATTTTGACCAAACTTCTTCGTCTGACTACAAACATTTAAAAGGAGGCCTTTTTTGAAAGTTGAAGATTCCCCCTCCCCATTCATTTTTCCTTACACTCACCAGTTCTCCTCTCACGTTTTCCTTCCACATCCATCACCACAACTTCTCACACCCACCAATTCGCCTCTTATATCTTGCTTCCACATATACCACCATAACCTCTTACACTCACCAACTCTCCTCTTACATTTTGCTTCCACACCCACCACCACCACCTCTTACACCCACCAATTCTCCTCTTACGTTTTGCTTCAACACCCACCATCACCACCTCTCCGCTGTAGGCCCTTCAATCAATACAACAGCATCACGGCCGACAGGAAGATGAAGATGACCCACCAATTTCCTCTTACGTTTTGCTTCAACACCTACCACCACCACCACCTCTCCGCTGTAGGCCCTTCAATCAATACAACAACATCACGGCCGACGGGAGGATGAAGATGACGATGAAGATGACGATGAAGATGACGATGAAGATGACGATGAAGATGACGATGAAGATGAAGATGACGGTGAAGAGGATGATGACGATGATGATGAGAAGAAGTATGACAATGATGAGGAAGGTGGTGGTCGTGGTAATTGTGGAAAGATGAAAGATACTTAATGTTTGCTAATGAGATGTAGTCATGCTGTCGCCCATCAAAGGATGGGCAAAATGAGTGCGTTGTGAGAATTCAGTTGAGGGATCGGATGTCTATGACACGATCATGAGTGAGTGTGGCCATGAGTGAATGAGGCCATGAGTGAATGAGGCCATGAGTGAGTGAGGCCATGAGTGAGTGAGGCCATGAGTGAGTGAGGCCATGAGTGAGTGAGGCCATGAGTGAGTGAGGCCATGAGTGA